TATATACATACACATATATATATGTAGCACTGGGTATTTTAAAACACAAAAAGATGGTTATGGCCAGTCAAAGTGGATTGTTTTCAGATTTGGATTGTAATCAGATTACTGTAATTATGTTCAGAAAAATCTGAAACTCTGACTCAACAATAGCACCCATGTCATTCATACCATGTATAAAAAGAGAAGAACTGCAGACTTTAAAACCAGTCTTTTGCATTTTAAGTTAATACCATGACGTTCTGTAGATTAGATTAGATTAGATTAGAACTGATCTGTGCACAGAAACAGTTTAAAGTGATTAAGTGCTTTAACCTTCAGTCTGCTCTTGATATTCTAAACCAGTTATTCCAATCTCTTTGTCCAATGTCACTCATGGTAACGCAGGACGAATGGCTACTACAGAAGGGTGTGTGTGTGTCTGAGTGTTTATTGCGAGCATGCAATACTGTATGTGCTGTATGAAGCATCATTTACCTGTCACTTCCTAAAGAGGACATAGTTTATAAATATCATCCAGTGGAGATGAGGGTTGGGGCTACAAAAGGCTACCCACAATCTCCCCATTGTTCACTGGCATCATTGTTGGTCTGACCTCCCAGCTGCTCAGCCATGGTAAGTCACTGTGTGTGTGTGTGTGTGTGTGTGTGTGTGGGCCATCTGATGGTGCAGGACAGATATGGGACATGATAAGGATGCTAACTTTGTGTGGACAGATGATTGCAATAATTTACAACTCATTTATAATTTGAAACCATTCAATAGTTTAACAGTATTCAATATTTCTGAGCATAAATGAATTTTCTGCGATTAATAATTGGCAGAATTAGATGATTATTAAGTAAAAATGAAAACACTGAATGGTAGCTTATGTTGCAAATGTTTAATTTTTACCAACCTTTCCCCAGACATTGAATGCGTTGTTTTATATGGGCTACATTTAATGCATCCTAAATTACAAACAATATATTTTAAAGGGAAAATATTGTTACTTATGCAGATTTTAATCTTCTAAGCAATTTAATGAAGTTCATGCACTATTGCTGAAAGCCATCTCCCACTTTTTAGAAACAGTTTTCTGTTATTAAGCCATACGATCCCTTTTATTTATGTTGTCTGACATTAGCTTTACTTTAACCGGCATATAGCGTCTACCTCATCTCTCCTCCTTTCTTTGCGCCAAAAGGCCCCCAAGAAAGCCAAGAAGAGGACAGCAGAGGGAGCCAACTCCAATGTGTTCTCCATGTTTGAGCAGGCTCAGATCCAGGAATTTAAAGAGGTGAAAGCTGCTCAACCCATTTTCATTTCACCCATTTGCATTTGGCTGTGAATGACATAAGAGTTGTGTAAAGGGTCTTTGAATATGCATGTTAGCTCACCATGTCCAGTATTATAATCCAAGTGTTCTTAAAAATACTCAGCAGCACATACAGAAGTCTCTCTTCCATCTACGTCCTCCTCCGTCTCTCCATTTCGAATTGTTCATCCTTGTACTATGTCCACCTGTCTATTTTCCTGCCCCCGGCTTGGCAACAGTGAGGCTTGTGGTATGCTGGTATGAGGGTCAGTGGTGCCCAGACATCCAGAGTGTGTCATCAGTGATTAGGCTGCAGATAAACTGCTGGGCATGCCCTGGATGCCAGGCTAAACCCCAGGGGGCTCGCAGGTTATAAATACTTAACAGTGATCACCTATAAAGATGGCAGACAAAATATTCAGGGGTAGAAAGGGAATCTAAAACAGTGCGACAATGATTGAATTGGGCTGGAAGCATGTGGCTACAATCTGTTTGCAACTACCCCTTTTCAAAACCGGGAGACTCATTTATATGTACTGACTTCAGGCATTCACTATCATGGACCAGAACAGAGACGGCTTTATCGACAAGAATGACCTGAGAGACACTTTTGCTGCTCTAGGTATGTCAACACCCACATTCAGCCTTACAAGAGGTTGTGAGCTGATATTCATGTTGAATGTTTGTTGCCGTAGGACGTCTCAATGTGAAACAAGAAGAGATTGATGAGATGCTCAAAGAGGCTCCAGGCCCAATCAACTTTACCGTCTTCCTCACCATGTTCGGTGAGAAGCTGAAAGGTAAGGATACACGGGCTAAAGATGAAAATCTAATCTGGAGAGTATTAATTAAACTATGTTTGGCTAATATACTAACCGGTAATGTATCTAGGTGCTGATCCAGAGGAGACCATCCTCAACGCGTTTAAAGTCTTTGACCCTGAGGGGAAAGGGGTGCTGAGGAAGGACTAGTAAGTGACTCAACACACTCCACTCCTCATACCACGTCAATTTGCAATATGGAAGCAAGCAGCGGAAGCTTTCTCTCACAATTTATGACGGCATCTGAGTGCAATCATTCATCCCAGAACTCCACAATAAAGGAAGTCATAATGACCTGCGCATAATTTCCTCCTGTTGTGAACCTCGTCATCTCATACAGTGTTTTTTTCTCTTTTCCCTGTTTAGTGTGACACATATGCTAACAACGCAAGCAGACCGATTCACCCCTGAAGAGGTACACTCTAGTCCTTTTGCAGTAATTATCCTTATTGTTTGTGTGTGTGTGTGTGTGTCCAAAAGCACAGACGGATAAACGTCATCGTGACGATCGTCTACATCCACGTCAGAAACATTTTCATCCAAAAACAAACCCATCAGTGAATCATCAACACACCTTCTCATGCACACTGAGCTGTGTGTTGTCTTTGTAAAAGGGGGAAAGAGGGAAAATAAAAGTGATGCTATCTGTTTTTTGTTTGTTTTTTGCTGGTCAGATGGAGCAGATGTTTGCTGCCTTCCCCCCAGATGTAGCAGGGAACCTGGACTACAAGAACCTGGTTCATATCATTACCCATGGAGAGGAAAAGGACCAGGAGTAAACCTTTTTGTCAACATGTTCATCAAATAGAAAGTCTGTCTCTTTGCCCGTACATGACTTGAAACTGGCCCACTGCCCCTTGAAGGAGAAGGACTGTGGTGTATTTACACATCTTTATGTTGGCTGCATTGTCTCTGTACAGTACTCACTCAAGAGGATCAAACATTTCTGCCAGGACCCAAAAATGCCCATTTGACAACATCAACATAGTGAGCTGTGTTGCTTCATATCTGCTTTATCCACAGTATGTTCCCACGTTTGTACCTGAGACTTATTAAATTAGTCCGCCTCATCATTTTATACACTCTCTCTTTT